TAAAATAAAAATCACAAGACATGCACTCATCATCATTCGCCTTATCACAACTATGCAGGTTGGATACATAAAATCCGTTTTGTGTGGTTCTATTTTATTTATATCCATATCCATTATTACTAAATTATGAATGCTAGAAATGATTTGGATATTGGACCTAAAACTTCATATCTAAGCTTCAAAACGGATATCTAAAATACTAATGTTGAAATTTTGGTAAGAGGAATCTTGTGGATACTGGAAAAGGTGGGTTTTAATCTTCTAACTAGTTGGTAAATTAGTCTATGGTCACTAGAGTTATGGTTGTATTATTTTGGATCGAACCTTTTGCAAAATTATTGGTAACAAGATTCTAGTCACGGGTATCCTTGCAAAAAGCTGGAGCTAATAATAATAATGTTATTCTCCTTTTCATTTTCTTTTGCAATGTATTTCCTGAAATATTATGGATCTTTTATTATTATTATTTTTTTTTTTAGGGGCGGGGGGGAAGTTGGTTAATGGGAATCAAGATATCTATATTCTTTTTATGTTCAGATTTATGTGGGGTTTATGAAAAATTTATTTTCCCTGAGTATCACTTTTACTCAAACAAGTGATACCCATCTCCTAGGTGGCTAAACAACTTTCCCGTTGCCAACATTTGTATGGGATAAAATTGTCCATTTTAATAAAAACTTTTTATGACTAAAAATAGTCATTTTCTTATTTACCTGAGAAATAAAAGAACATGGATAAATGCACATACACAGATGAATATTTCCTATGACACACTTACCCAGATAAATAACTTCCTAAAAAGCAATTCATGACAATTTTTGAAGTTTATTGGTTTTTGACATTTCTTATATAGAGAATATGCTGCCTAAGAGGGGATGGTTAAATTATTTTAGTATTCTGATTTTTTTTTTCATTATTTTAAGCAATGTTATTTAATCTTCGAACTTTTTAATTATCGACTTTTGGTTGTTTATATGGGAATTAATAAGAAACAATTTAATCTTCTACAAATTGAAAAAAATAAAACTAATTATAAAGTATTAAAGTTTGCCTTGTTCTTTATCAACTAGTCTCAATAATGCGATCATTCCTTAAATATAAATTCTTTTCTTGTATCCAAACTTTAATCCCAGATTCAAGACACCGAAGAACTATTTCAAAGCAGACACAGAAACGGACACAGTGTATATGTAGTAAAATATACACCGACAGCTCTAAGCCAAGTTAGGCATGGATATAATCAATCTTTGGAGAAAAAAATATCTAAAGACAATAAAACCCTAATCAGAGTACTTCTCCAAGTTCAAAGCAGTATTAGCGATAAAACCGATTTGGTTGTGTTGGATAAAGAAAAGAAACAATAGATTTATATTTGAAAAAAAAAAAATAACAGTTTGAGAGAAATCAAAAGGTAGAAAGCCGTGTGAGAGAGGTACTGACTCATATGGGAACTCGGTGGTACTGTTTGCATACTATATGTCTATCTATCATACACAGAGAGTGAGAGAGTGAGAGAAAGGGTGTGTGGGAGGGAAAGCGAGAGACATGAGAGTCACATGATACAAACAACACCCAAAAAGGAATCGATGCAACGAGGACTACACACTAGACGAGAGAGAGGGACATGTGGGTCAGAGCGGGCCCCATTGCTTGGGCCCATATGGTGGGGGCGTAGTAGTACCTTCCAGTAAGGTCCCAAAGTGTCACCATCCCGCTTTTTAAAAGCAGCCCATGTGGTGACACTCTCAGATGGCAAGAGGGGTGGGGGAAATTTTCTTTTTTTATTTTTTCTCCCATAGGCAAACGTGCAACTTGGACATTTCAAAACTCAAAAAAAAAAATCTTTTCTTTTAATTTATTACAAAAATAAATAATTAAATAATACGATAAGGACTGAATTCACTGAACCACCATGGGCCCATGGCATGCATGTAGATAAACTCGATCCAGTCCACGAATGTGTGTGAACTGTGAACTGTGAATTGTGAACTGAGATTGATTATTACTCACATGTATGTAATGTATGTACGCATGTGGATTGTGATATTTTTTTGTGGAAGATGAAGGTGCGAAACAAAACAAACAAAATCAAATCAAAATTCCCTTTTTGGCCTCTTTCCCACTAAAATTAAAAGAAAATTGAATAAAAATAAAAAATGTATATATATATAGAGAGAGAGAGAGAGTGTGGGTGTGTGTCCAAGGTGATTACAAAAGTCTGGTGCCTTTTACAGGATTGTTTGCACTTTACTCAGTTCACTTGTGAATCAATCCAATGCAGTAAATCAGTGGGCCTGCGGCCCAGTAAGATACAGACGAGGACAATCATGAGTTTTGAAAATTGTTAGTGTTCATGGAGTTGAGGAAAGATTAGGGCATTGATCATCATTTCATGCATCCGTGGGCAGAATGAAATTGAGGTGGGCCTACTGCGGGGTCACCCACTGTTGCAGTTTGACTTGAGATCATCTTCTAGATGGCAGCAGCCACTCACCTACTCAATGGTGGATATTGCTTCACAGTTTGCATACGCCACATGTCCCATCTCTTATTACTTGTTAGGCTGTGGACTGCCACATGAACTGGCCCATGCATGGAATGCTCAGTGTCTGCGCAAGTGGGCCATCGGCTACATGCAGACCACAAACGGTTAGTATCCATCAACCCACCAAAAGTCTAACCAAGCCAAAAATATATAATATGTGTGTTTTTTCATTACATAAAAATAAATTAACGAATAGAAAAAGGTTAAAATCATGCATCTATAAAATGATCTATGTTTCTCTATTTATGTCTATGTAGGTCTAGGAACTAGAACTATAGGGTTATTGAAAATCTACGATGGAAAAGTCAAATTTTTTACATCAACCATTTATAAAATTAATCTATGTTAATTTTATTAGATAGGCAGAGCTGAGTGGGCTCCAAAGGAATAATATATCATATATGGGCCTCTCTTGGCTCTACGTACATTGGGCTCCAAAGGAATCTATGCGGTGCGGTGGATGGGTGTGGTGTGTGGGGGATGTCGTCGTATGTGGTCGGACAGTAAATTACAAATCGCAAGTATAATACATTAAAACTGGCTCTTGCCTCAAACACCCAACCCCGCCATCTGGGAATTAGGGTTTTGATGGACGGAATCGATGGATAGATGGATGGAAGTCTTAGGGCTTTGTGTATGTATGTGCGCGTTTGTGTTTGTGTAAGTTTGTATCAAAACTGCAAAATTGTGTCGGGAATCGGGTTGAGGGAGAAAGCATCGGTCGTTCCAGAGGAAGCTCCGAGTGAATGCAGCCAAAAGCAGTTGAATAAACTATGTACCTTCTCTGATATTTATGTTTTTATTATTTCTTTTCAAAAAAGAAAATCATTTCTAGTTTTTGCTTTGCTTTTCAATTGATTTCGCTTCCTCCTCCTCGTTTATGATTTTTATTAATCGACGCGGCGGTTCCACTGAAAGTCAGCAAGCTATAAGATCAAATTCAAAATATTCAATTCTTAATTTGTTGTTTATTGTTTTTCTTCACTCTCTATATAGGAAGGGAAACCATGCATCAGCATTGCCTACCTACTAAAGCTATGTCTCATTATTATTATATGGACCCTATGCAATTACTCTTGGATTAGAATCTTGTGTTAATAATAGAGCCTAGCTAAGCAATACTAATCCGAAGTTTATTATATATTTTCTTTAGGATCTACACTCCACACTTGGGAAGCCACGTGGGCAAATACTAAAAAAAAATAATAACTAAAATTGATATTTTCCTCCTTAAATTAAAACAGATGATGATATATAATGTGAGAAAGAGATGCATGGTTGAGGGTGTGGTGACATAGACTTTATATTTCATTTTCACCTGAGGAAGGTTAAAAAGGGAGGTTGCAAATTACAATATAGGGATTAAAGCTAATTAAGAAACTCTAACTTTATTTTTTTTGGGGTTTTGATCAAGGACTAACATATGGATACAAAGGTACAAGCCCATATGGACCATTAGCTAACAGTCAAAAAATACTTGTTACCTAATTTACACAGGCCCAGCCACCCCCATGAATTGCAAAGTCAAGTAGGTCCTTTTTATCTGTAGTCTGTAGTAATCAACAAAACTCCAGAGAGTTCTGACTCAATACCAAATGGATCGGACCAAGCTGGGAAACCTGGGTCCTGGTCCGCTCTGTGAATGTATTTATGTTCTAATCATTCTGGGTGGTCATAATTAATTAGATGTTATCGATTCAATCAAAAGTGCAAATGCATAGTTCTTTATTCGTACTCTGGGCCATGAGCCATGGGAATGGAATCGAACCGTACCCGAATCATACTACCATAGAGGGAGGGAGGGAGGGAGGGGCCGAGGAGGGATTGGAATCGGGGTAAAGACTAAAGATGGATGGATGATTCATTTGTGGTAATGGACAAAGCGCGTTAGTGTTGGGTCCATTCATCAAGCGGTATTCAGTCAATCGTCAACCGTCATTCATGAATGATGAATACCATCATCATACCAACAATTCTCGTCGACGTCGAGACGACTACACTACACTACACCCTCTCTCCCTCCGTCCGTCCGTCCGTCTCTCGCAAAAACTCTCACGCCTTTTACTCACAATATACTTTTTGGAAGGAAGGAGATGGTGCAGTGCAGTGCAGAGCGGCAGTCTGATGGGACCCACGTCCACCTTTGAGCCAGAGAGGTATCACGGACGGCACCGTAATATGGCCTCGGTAAATGTGACGAAGCCCCTCTCTCTCCTCTCTTGCCTTCCCAGTTCCCACTCTGCATGTTTAAATAAAATATAAATATAGATATTTCTGAGTATTGTTGCAATGGTGCAATAATGGCTTAATCATTTATTCCTGATGAAGGGCTATAAAGGCAATAGACTTTTTAAGTTAAACCTTTTTCTTGAAAGAATATATAAATGTATGTATATAACAATCAAACCTCATCGTTACGTGAAACATCCCATCTCCAACCTTTTCTTTTCTTTCATCTCTCTCTCTAACCTTTTTCTGTTCTGTTCTGGTCTGTCTTTTTAGTTTTTACCTTCCCCGCTTTATTTTATTCTTTGAAAAATTAAGAGGAAGTTTCAGTTCTTATAAGCCATAAAAAGAGACACCAGCTTACACTACTAAATTACAAGGGTGAGAAAGAGGAGAGAGAGAGAGAGAGGGAGCGGTGGCCCAGCTGAGTCTATGGCTGACCGACCTTGAGAAGGCATGTAGGATAAGAAGAAGGGAGGAGTGAGAAAGAAAGAGAGAGAAAGGGATGAAATATTCTCTTTAGCTTTGATGAGTTTTGGTTTTTTCTTCTGAGATTGAAGCAAAGTAAAGGAAATCTGCGTAAGAAGAGTCCGATTTTGTAGAGTTTATTTTTAGTTTTAAAATTGTTTTTGCCTGGTGGGTTTTGTTGGATTCAAGTTTGAGTTTGGTTTTTTGTTTGTTTGGGCAGAATCGGAGAATCGGGAGTTGAATATACGAAGTGATTTATCTGTTTGTGCTTGTGCGTAGTCCGCTCGTCTTTGGAGTTTGGAGAAGAAGCTTTCCGTTTTTTGCTTTGTACGATATCAGTTTTGGATTTTGGAGAGCTAGTTCTTCGGGGGTGCTAAGTGCTAACTAAACTAAAAGGAAGGACACCCGCCTTGTTCGTCTGCTTGCTTGAATTCAGACATGCAAATGATGTCTGGAGATGGGCTTTCAATTCCCTCTTCAGTCAGAGGGTTTCCTCAGGAACCAATTTCAAACCCTAATCCTAATCCTCCTAATGCTAATCCAGTTGTCAAGAAGAAACGAAATCTACCCGGAACACCAGGTATATGCAGCCCAACCTTCGTCTTCTTCTTCTTCTTCTTCTTCTTCTTCTTCTTCTTCTTCTTCTTCTGTTCTCTTACGGGTTCTGGTGCTTCTTAACAGATCCAGATGCGGAGGTCATTGCTCTATCTCCCAAGACTCTCATGGCAACCAACCGGTTCGTCTGCGAAATCTGTAACAAAGGTTTCCAGAGGGACCAGAACCTGCAGCTTCATCGACGAGGGCACAACTTGCCATGGAAGCTTCGACAGAGAACCAGCAAAGAAATCCGGAAGAGGGTATACATCTGCCCCGAGAAGAGCTGCGTTCACCACGATCCATCCCGGGCGCTCGGAGATCTTACCGGAATAAAGAAACATTTCAGCAGAAAACATGGCGAGAAGAAGTGGAAGTGCGAGAAATGTTCCAAGAAATATGCAGTCCAGTCCGACTGGAAAGCTCACACCAAGACTTGTGGCACTAGAGAGTATAAATGCGACTGTGGAACACTCTTCTCCAGGTAAACTCTTGCAATCTATATATGATTTCGTTCATTCTCCTGGTTGAAGCTTTAGTCTTTTATACTTACATTTAAAACGTTCTAGAAGAAATAAATGCTCACGTAGAAGATTTTATGGCTTTTATTCGGATTTAATGCCACTAAATTGGTGGACTATAAACTGTAAAGGGCTGTTGATAGCAGTTGTTTTAGAATTTAAAATAGGGTTTGTTCAACTTTAAATCCATCAGGAAGGACAGCTTCATCACCCACAGAGCCTTCTGTGATGCCTTAGCAGAAGAGAGTGCTCGACTCACTTCGGCTGCAGCCACCAACCTCAACTTCAGAACGGATTCCATCAATGACGCCACGTCGACTATGCCGCATGGGTTTGGAGGCCGAGGAGGACCAAACGCCACTGCTGGTATCCCTCCATTATGCCCGGTTTTCAGGCCAGAATTCGCCGGCCCCGAGGCCACCAATGTTCTAGATGCAAACCGGCAGAAACCAAGGCTGTCGCTGTGGCTGGATCAAGCCAATTCTCATTTGAATCCCATTGATGCGGCAGCTAATTCTAATGCTTTCTTGGCAACGAGTTCAACGGGTTTGCCTGAATTGGTGCAAATGGCATCGACCAATATGTTCAGCTCCTCCTCTTCATTGGTCGATTACGGAGGATGCGTTCAGCCGCAGTGGCCGTCGACGGGTGGGAATCTGTCTTTATCAACATCCCCGCGTGGATTAAAAGAGGAGAATGGAAACAAAGGCCAGTTGGTAGAAAGCTTAGCGCCTTTGTATTCCAACAACAACCAAAACCAGCAAGCAAACTCAGCCCACATGTCAGCGACTGCACTTTTACAGAAGGCAGCTCAAATGGGATCGACTAGGAGCAACCCCTCATTACTCGGTAGCTTCGGAGTGGTGAGCTCGTCTTCCTCAGATACAACAAGCTTCAATCCTCACGTCCAAAACAGAAACGAGTTCCACCAGTTAATGAGGCAAGCTGCAAATCAACCGGAGAACATAAACGAGCTGATGAATTCGATATCCACGGCAACCGCCACCACAGGGGTTGGTGATGGAATGGTGGGTGGGTTGAATTTAAGCTCATTAACGGGCACAGTAAACAATCTCGACCGTCTAATGATCCCGCAGGGTGGAAAACAAGGTCAATCAGTTCCAGTTCCACAAAAGTTCCTCTCGACCGCAAATGAAGTGGAACACAGTCTTACGAGAGATTTCCTAGGCGTAGGAGGAGATGCCGGCAGGCCATTCTTACAGCAAGAGTTAGCGAAATTTGCTTCGATGGGTTCAGCCATGAACTTGAGTCAATACAGTAGCACCCACTGAACTGTTGCTCCATTACTTTAATTTGACAAAAAATCCTTGTCGTAAGATACAATAACAAGCAGCGTAAGAGTAAGACAAACAGAACAGAAGTTGACTGTGGCGAGAACGCCCAAACTCTAAAGGCCTTGGTTACCGAGTCGGACCGGTCCGTTGAAGCTGCAAAGAGTTCTCCACACAGCGACGGCTGTGGCTGTGTCTAGAGAGAGAGAGAGGGAGGAGTTGAGAATGACCGAATGCGAATCGTCAGAGACGGATGGGTGGGGGGCAGTTGTCAGTGCAGCAGGTGGAAGCAACTCGGCATTGCGGAGGGGAAGTCCTTGGAGTCACGCATGTTGTTGGTTAATCTATCAGGCCTGGCCCTAGCTTTCTTCCCATCATTTCTTGCTTTAAAACTAAACAGCGCGGAAAACCACAAGATGCGTTGACTGCCGGTCAAAGTATACCGGCCGATGATGTCAACGTTGTTTTGAATCTTCGGAGTTGGGATCGATGCGTTTTTTTCCCTTTGGCGTTTCTTTCAATTATCTCATCAGTTTTTCATCATTCGTAGTCTAAATACATTTTCTTTTTTTCTTTTTTTTCGTTTCTTCTCTGGACGAGGTCTCTTCTAAACTCGAATATAATTGAGATTGAATGAACTCAAAGGAGTAATGAAAGCCGTTGTTTTCATTCTGATGCGCTGGTCCAAAAAAAAAAAAAAGTAGTTGACTGGCTGAACTGCCGGGTCGTCAGACAGACTACTTAGATTTCCACTCATTTCTGTTCTGTGGAAAACTGGAAACAGAAACAAAGTCGTCGAACCAGCTGAAAAAAAGAAGGGGGGAATTGTAGACACGTAAAGACGGAATTTCTTTTGTGGATGGAAATTGGGCGCCACCCAATATATTGCGGCCTTCCACCGTAAGCAAAACTAATATATATATAGAGAGCAAACTGGGGAGAAATGGATGTTTCAAGATTCGTCTTATTGGGTTCAATTAGGCTATATGTTTGGATCGGGTTTGTGAGTTGAGAGGGAGGGCCCTTTATATAAATATATATATATATATATATATATGATGTGTTAGTGGCAGGCGCAGGTCCATAAGCAAAAAGCCTGCAGGTTCATAGATCGATCTGAAAGCCTTGTTCCCCAGAAACCAGAATGATTTTGAAGTAACTTTCCCCCCTGACACAGACTAACATGGCACTCCCCCTCCCCCTCCCCCTCCACTCCACTTATATAAACATAAAGCTCCCACTCCCCCAAGAGAAGACATAACTGGTTCTCTTTTGTCATCTCGATCGGCTTGTAGCTAGTTTGTTCTCCTGCTCTCCAGTTTGTTGATTAGGAGGAGAATATACAAGCGTACACGCATAGACAACCCCACCCACACCGATCCACACGCATTGAGCTCTCTGGAAGCAGTGGAAAATGGGTCCCTATTGGCTTTATTGGCTACTCATGTTACAAAAAATAAAATAAAATAAAACTGTGCATGTTGTTAGCTAGCTGCTACTGCTATTTAAACCGAACAGATGGCTCATCCTGACAAAAGAAGTTCAAAACTGTTAAACGGTTCAAACGATTTGACCGCCTGAATCAATGGTTTTTGGTGAAATAATAGTTCTAGAATAAAACAGATCTGACCAGTTCCTAATTTTTCCGGTCCAACCATCCGGTCTGGTCCGATCTTGAAGACCATGGTTTGTATCAAAATGTCAGCTTGGAAAATGGGGAAAAAAAAAAAGCAAACAAACCATGACATGATGCATATCAGAACTAAAAAAAAAGGGGGTTAACGTTTTGCATGCTTCTTAGGTCTCACTCAATCTATATACAAAATTGTAAAGCAAAGAGATGTTTCTTCTAGACTGCGTTCTCTTCCAGGCCAAAGGGGCGAGGGAAAAAGGTTTTATTAATTATATATAAAACTGAAATTGTACTGCTGGTGTTCATCTAATTTTTCATCATCAAAAAACCAGCAGCCAGGTTGAGGGATGGAGATCAAAATTATTAATAATTAAAAATAAGGAAATGGACAGGACAGAATTAATGTATGTGCATTTAGTTGGATGACATTGATCAAATCAAATACGTATGTGCATGTGTTCATTGTTGCAGCAAAAAGACGAGGAGGAGCTTCGTGGTAGGTTCTCCTCATACGCATCCGTGCAGTGCAGGGCATATTTTGGCCGTTGCATGATTAATTAATTGGAGTGGGGGGAGTTAGTTAGTACCCCCCCATTCATTCTCCACATTTTCTTCATTCATCCACAAAAATATAAAGGTACGTCTACTGAAGAGTGAAGATTCATGACAACAAGTCACACCCCTCCAATCCAAGTCTCTTCAACAATTAATTTTTGCTGTCTCCTGCTTCTTGCGCTCTTCTTCAACAACCAACACCACACATCGGCCGTTCCTGCTACTTAAAAGAACTGCACCTATTATTTGATTAAACCTATAGTAGGTGATATGAAAAGGAAATGCGAATGCGCTGGGAACTTGCATGACCCAATTCCTGCTTCAGAGGCTACCGATGATGAGATGAATTAAGATGAGGAAGAGCAGACGTCTGAGCATGCTTCAATTCTATTAAGCTCAGAGCACTGGTTTAGTAAGATTTAAGGGATTGGTTGCTTCAAATTAAGACAAAGGAAAACCCATGATAAACGATAATTAATTTCTTTTTCATGAAATGTCACCATCCAAAAAAAAAAAAAAAAAACAGTAGGAGCACGTGATTGTATTAACCTAATCTAGCTGGTTTTGGTTAATTTACGGTTTACCATGCATTTTATAGGCAGCATAGCTCCTAGTCCTAGGCAGTGTGACGGAGTCAATTCATTGGTTGAAAGAAGGCCCCCAAACCCAATGTTTCTTGGGTCTCGTGCTGTCGACTGGACTAACAACTCGGGATAAAAAAAAGGGGCTGATAGGAAGATCAAAGATGGATGTGTCTCATACATAGCAGGCCGAGACACAGTTGAGGAGGATTTGAGTAGCCCAATTGGTAAAGTGGTAAAGACCGATCAAGTTCACTCTGGCTCCTTTTAAAAAAGCCTCCTTGAAATTTGAAAAGTTGGTGTCACCATGCATTTAAATTCTAAAATTCTTCTGAAACAAGGGGAGACGTGGATCTGCAGTTATCCACCGTGAAAGTTAAAAAGAAAGTGTTAAAGATAGTGCGATATATATTGTTGCATGTGAATATGAATATTAATTGTACTACTACTATTTGATCAGTTGAAAGAAGGCTGGTTTCTTGTCCCTCTGCTTGTCTCTGTTTTATAATGAGCCAAAGCTTACTGAACCAAGCAGCCCCTGTTTCGTCCTCACTCCTTGGGTTTGGTTTGGACCCATCTGTATAAGTGTGTTGACAATCCCTTCCTAGGATTCTTGAAAAGAGAAGAGTCTTTGGTGGAGTGGATGGAATTGATAACTATATGTATATACACGCTGGATGGAAGCAACAGGTGGACAACTTTTTGGGTACAAGCAAGTCTAAGCTACAACAGCAAGGTGAGAGAAGCTGCTGAGAGCATTAATTTGAAGATGGGTAAATGGTAACAAAAGCCTACAAGTAGTACTGATCATGTATAAAGCTCATATATAAAGATACAGAGAAAGAATCAAATGTTAAGCCTCAATCGATGGGATTTGCAAAAGGAAAGCTGCTGGTAGCTAAAAGGGAAAAGATGAACCCATTAAGTAGAAGATAGAGTTGAAATGTGGTGATGAGAAAATGGAGATCCTGGACTTTGATCCAATGCATTAGAAAAAAGAAGGAAAATTTACTCTTTTCTGGGTAACAAAGACGAGGTTGTCTTGGAACTAAAGGAAGAATGTTTCGTATACCAATATAACAAGGAACCTTGGGAAGTGCATTTCAAGTTTATTGTGTTTTTTATAACCGACAATCACTGTATTTCTTTCGGTATCGAGAAGCTAAACAACTTTTTTCTTTTGGTTTTAAATGAATCTCTTGGAATCATGTGGGTTGTAAGGATTAGAGCTGCAGAAAGGGAAACTAATTCCCAAAAGTACATGTAAATAAACAAGTGTAGGTTGCTCAATACATTTTTTTTTTTTTTTAATTCAGAATTGTGGAAATAATACCCTGTTTTTCTTTTTCTTAAATTAAGGAGCTCTATACCCCATTATCCCCACTAGAAATTTAAAATACGGAAGAGATACATCAAAAGAGCAGTTCTGGTTTCTCCTGTGGGTAAGAGGTGAGACTGTTTGTTCATATTACGACTAACATGTGTGATCATACAGGTGTCAAAAAACACAGTTAAAACTCTTATTTCATCAAAATATTAGCATTAGACGCCCTGATTTTTTATTGGGTAAATTACAGATAAATACCCTGTAACTATGGGAGTAATGACAAATGGTGTGTCTTGAACTTTTAAATGTGACATTTGAGTACTTTGAACTCTCGGAATAGACATGATGGTGTGCATTAAGATGAAATATGAGAAGAAAAACAAGGGTTTCAAAAATAACAACCTAAGAATGAAGACCTCATAACTACATTTTCATAGAAGAGAAAGGGCATATGGTTTCAAACGTAAGAAAACTCAAACATAAGAACGAAACCCCTTTCTTTCTCTTCTTTGTTGGTTGATTCATGTTTGTCGTAGTTCAGGCTTAACAATGAAATCTGAGAAGAAAAATAATGATTTCAAAATAAACAGGGTGTTTATTTCTGGATGTTTAAGGTACTCAAGTTTAGGGTATCTGTTTGTCGCTACCCCCAAAACATAGGACACTCAAGTGTTCATTTCAAAATCGTCTAAAAACACAAAAAGGGTAATTTTGGGATTTTGGAATGTTTAAAGTTGCAGGTCTCCTCACATGCTGCGGGTAACTGAGGGAATACTAACAGATGGATTGGAGTGTCTATTTCTGGGAATTTTGGGTACTCAAGTGTCACTTTTTGAAAATTCAAGGTACCTATCTATCACTACCCAAAGTATAAGGTACCTATAATTTACCCTTTTTTAATTTATTCATAACCTTAGGAGTCGACCATTGTCTCCCAAAGTGTTCTTGATCTTCACTAGTTTAAATTTTCATTTAAAATTATCTAGCATAGAGGTTATGCATCCCTCCTCGATATATTATTATTGCAAGTATATATGTTTTCTATCATGAATATATTAATTTTACAGTTACATAATCTTGCAGGAAATACACATAGCTCTTATTTTTCTTCTTTTCCTCATAATTATATATAGCTTTGTTAGTTGAATAAAATGAAACTTGATCTAGACAATCATTTAACAAAAAAAACCATAATTAGATTGAAGGAAAGGTGGAGTTTGGTTAAGTCTCACAAACTACTCTAATGCTAATATTGGTCTGATTGATTATTTCTTTTAATAGTTAGTCTCAAGGAATTATGTATTAAGAAAATTTTAAGTTATTAGATGAGGTCTCTAATAGGTCGTTTTTCTCTAGCCTTATCAATTCTAAGATCTACCCATCAAACCTATTCTTTCTTTAATAACAACAACATAGTTCAAAACTTATATTATTTTTATTGATTTAATTGAATAATTTAATCTCTAGATTTTCATTAATACACACACACACATTCAAATATTACCTTCTACATTACTTATTATACACATTGTAAATATTACCTTCTACATTACTTATTATACACATTCAAATATTA